CTATACCATAGCACATTATACCATACTATACCACACTATACTATACAGTACTATATTGTCCTATACTATATCATATTATACTGTACTATAATATACTAGTATTGTTTAATATAGTGTACAGTATAGTATATAGTGTGGTAATATAGTAAAACTATTGCATGCCATATACTATACTATAAACTATAATATCCTATATACCGGTACTACATTATAAACTATATTGTATACTATACCATATATTATACTATAGCATGCCATATACTATACTATATAATATAGTATATACTCAACTATAAACCATACTATACTATATACCACACCATACTATATATTATACCATATACTATACCATACTATATAGTTGACTATAAACTATACTAAAGTATATACCATACCATACACTACACTATATACTGTACTTTACCATACACTTTACTATATACTGTAACTTATACTATACTATAACTTATACTATCTACTGTACCATATAGTGTACTATGTGCTGTATGTGTCTGACCTGGTAGGAGAGGAGAGCCATATCTGTTTGTTGGGGGTCTGCTTGTTGATGACGTAGGTGCCGTGGTCCCCACCCACCTTAACTGTCAAAACGCCGCTCTGTGCACACGCACACACACACACACACACACACACACACACACACACACACACATACACACACATTGGACTTCAATTCCTTTCGTCTTAATACTAAAATGAAAGCTGACACATAAACATATGTGAAACAGATTAGTTCCTCTCACCCAAAACAAAAACATTTAACTTTAGGTTTTTAGACAGGCAAACTGAATACCCCCCCCCTTCGCCCATCGGGGCCAGATGTTAAGCCCATCAGGGCCAGATGTCAGGCCAATCGGGGCCAGTTGTCAGGGCAATGAGGGCCACTTGTTAGGGCCCATCGGGGCCAGTTGTCAGGCCCATTTGGGCCAGATGTGAAGCCCATCGGGGCCAGATGTTAAGCCCATCGGGGCCAGATTTTTAGCCCATCGGGGCCAGATGTTAAGCCCATCGGGGCAAGATTTTTAGCCCATCGGGGCCAGTTGTCAGGACAGTCAGGGCATGTTGTCAGGCCCATAGGGGCCAGATTTTAAGCCCATCGGGGCCAGTTGTCAGGCCCATCGGGGCCAGATGTTAAGCCCATCGGGGCCAGATTTTTAGCCCATGGGGGCAGTTGTCAGGCAAATCGGGGCCAGTTGTCAGGGCGATGAGGGACAGTTTTTAGGGCTTATCAGGGCCACTTGTTAGGGCCCATCGGGGCCAGTTGTTAGCTCATCTGGGCCAGATGTTAAGCCCATGGGGGCAAGTTGTCAGGCCAATTGGGGCCAGCTGTCGGGCCCATTGGGGCCAGTAGTCAGGGCCTGTTGTCAGGCTCATTGGGGCCACCTGTTGGGCCCCGCTGACAGCTCTGCCTGGTGGGACTCACAGAGAACATGACGTCGTAGTCCGCTCCGGGGACGGCTCCGTCCGCCAGGTCCTCAAAGTAGTCGGCCAGAGCGTCCAGCGTCTCGTCCGCCAGCCTCTCGTAGGCCGCCTCCGTCAGCTCGCTGCGGGGCGGACAGCAGCGGGTCAGGGGGGGGTCCCTCCGGCCTCACGGAGCTCCAGTACGGCGGCTCTTACCTTCTCTGCTCGGGGGTGGCCTCCCCCCCCCGACTCACCCCCCGGTGGATGCGTCTTCCGGCCCACTGACAGGAGGTCACAGAGGTCAGCTGCGCCCCCCCAAAAAACAAGTCATATTTAATTTAATACAAATAAGAATATATTACAATGACAAAAAACTTAGCTTAACTTAACTAGCTTAACTTAGCTAGTAAAATAACGTCCCCCCTCCCTTTTAGGAACAATGGTATGTTCCTAGGCTTCCACCTCCAGCTGGATTTGATGGAGGTGGTGGTAGGAGCATCCCCCCCCCCAAAAAAACTCACCTGCCCGGCAGCCTGGAGGACGGGACCCGGCATGCGCGCGCACAGTGTGGTGCCAACCGAGGAGCCGCACGCGCCCCTGAGCTGTGGGGTGGGGGGGGGGGAATAAGGTGGGGAGAGTCACCCCCCCGCCGCAGCTTCCGGTCTCCCCCCCGGGGCGGCGGCGTTACCTGGGGCCGCGCCCCCCCGCTCCGGAGGGCCCCGCTCAGCCGGCGCATCCCACCGGACAGACCCGCTGCTCTGGCGGACAAAAACATGGCCTCTCCGGCCAAACGCTCCTTCTTCTTCTTCTTCCTTCTCCTCTTCTTCTGGGTCTTTTGGCAGTCAGACCGCTACCGCCATCTGCTGGACGAAGTTGGTCCAGCAAATGAGGTTGAGTCATTCTTCTTCTTCTTCTTCGGTTTGACAAACATCTCACAGGTGCATTACCGCCACCTACTGGTAAGGAGTGTGGATCGAGATTTGACACTTTCCTATTAATTAAATAAATAAATATATGAAGGAAAAAAGAAAAAAAAAAATTTTGATTCTCTCTATCAGTTTTGTTCTCCTAAGATACTGAATCACAAATTGATAACACTTCTCTGATGAGTTTCTCTGTAAAAGATCCTGTAAATCATATTTAATCTTACTTTCTTTAAGATTCAATATCAGTGCCTTTCTCTCATAAACATACGAGGTTGAGTCATTCCATGAAACGGCACATTTTGAGTCCCGCTGACCTCTAAAGGCGCGTTTCGTCAGTCTGGTCACTTTGTGACGGGGTTGAGATTTTAGTGATTTGCTTGTGAAGTTATCCAATTGTTTGGATATATTATTATTATATTTTGTACGGGTGTGTGCGGGAGACACTGTGATGGTAAAAGAGTCTAAAGTCTTTGCTTCGTTATCTTTGAAGAAAGAGGAGGGGGACTCTGAGGACTTGAACTGCCAGAGTCAATGTTTCAAAATGGTTGACGCGCGGCCCCATGAACCTGTAGGTCTTTGAAATAATATCCCTGCTGCCTAAACCAACAGCGACGATTAGCTGTGGGATGAGAAGTGAAACTGTCCTGTGGTGAGAATTGTTAGTTACAGTGTATGCATGGGAGTATGGCAGAATAGATACTGTTAGCAAGGCCACACACATCAGCTTCCACCTCCAGTTCCTGGTCTTTGGGAGCTCACAGAAGCTCCACCCCCCCTCTTCTTTCAGGACAAGAGGCTTCCAGGCGGTCAGTTCCCGGTGGGTGACCCATGGCCTCCCGACAGCTTGTAGCCGGTGCTTTGGTTTGTGTAGAGACGTCCCTGACGTTGGCACGAGTGAGGATTTTTACCTCTGAACTGCTGCCCAGCCTAGTGGACGCGTTTGTGGAGGGTATGCCGGACTTACCTGCCTTCCTACTGATGTAAGGCCAACCTCATGTGAGAAGTTACCACTGACTTATGGATGGATCTTTTATTCCAGATCATGAGGAATGTTTTTGGTCTGTTGGAATTCAAAACTGTAAGTTCCTGAGGAATCAAGAGAAAGCAAAATGGACTGGACTATGGGCTGTGGTTAGCTGCCCAGCATTTTGATCAGTTTCCCCATAAAGCTTCAGTCGTGTTTCTGATGATAACAGCTCATTTGAACTGTTACCAGCCTGACAGTGTGGGCCGAAAATATGAAAACAAATAGGACCGAGAACATATTTACTACTGTACTCTGTCCTGCTTTGTTCCTCTGACCACAGGCTGAAGCTCCACGGCCACTCTCAGGTCTCCACATGCAAACCGAGCGTGCCTTTTTCTTACTCTAACCACTCGTTATGTTTCCATCCACACACGCCTCAGGTCATGCTCTGGTTGGAACTGGAACGATGGAGATGATTGTGTCTCTGACAGCACAACAATGAACCTGAAACTTTTTAGGATAGGTCAAGAGATCATAAAATCTTCTTTCCACAAGACTGAGAATGTCTGCTTCAAGTGTCTTTATTCATTCAAGTTTCTCGCATCATCCGGCTGCGAGTTTCTCAATCAACAATACGTCTAAATGCAGAAAGCATTTCTTAACAATCTGTCCCCTCCTCATGAGCAAGCAGGTCAGCTTTGGGAATGTGCGGTCAAACCTACTGCCCGCCACAGCGTCTAGTCTCATTATTTTCAGACAACAGGTTGTCTCTTTTCTCTAATATTAAATTTAAAGGTTTTTTTTGGCCAGTAAAATGTCAACTTTAGGCACCTCCTTGAGAAAAAGAGGATTGGGCTTCTGGGGAACCAGCCATCTCTGTGGGGTCCACTGACCCCTCTGCAGGGGAACCAGGGGCCCAGGTGACAGGACCAGGGATCCACAGCCCCTGAACCCTGCCAAAGGCCTGGTCACACCCAGTGTGCAGCAAGCAACCTTTGTCAGTTAATATTGGATGCAAAGGCTTAGTTTTATTAAGCACCATTTCACATTCTGTTCATGCACACTGAATCATAAGTTGGAAATAAGATGGTTGGTGGATCTATACTGTTTCACAGTTGTTCCACCTGCTTTCTTCCCACACGGATCCCTTTTATATCCTGAGCATGGTTTGTTGAAAACACAGCGGGTTGTGAGTGGAGGCCTTCAAAGATGTTCGACATCTCTCCCAGCTCTCACATTGTCCAGGTTTAGGTGGCTAAAGTGTTCCGCCGGTGCTCTGTGCTGCAGGTGGATGGTCGGCCTCGGGCTGTCTGCAGGCTTTACCTGCTGCAGGCTGCCGGGGTACCCTGCAGGTTCACCTTAGATCTGAAAGAGGAGCGGTTTCATCACATTCCATTCCACTGACACACAGTTATTTCCTGAAAATCAAACACCAGCAGGACACAGAGGCTGTCACACAGTCAGTCAAAGCTGTGAGAGCAGTCCAGTCTCAGGACTCAAAACCCTCAAAGAAACGGAACAGACTGATGGAGACTGGTTGGTTGTATCTGTAACCTGAGAAAAGGTAAGAAGATGACCCTTTTTTCTTTTCTGACTCCATTTCCTGGGCGGGAGAGGCTTATTCTGCGCATTAATCGGGTTTTGGATAGTCCAATCATTCTATGGATGTACTGTACACAAGCAGCTGGAACACATTTTCAGTGGTTCATGATTTGTGAAATGGTGAACACAAGTCTCCAGAATCGCTCCAAAGAAAAGACATGACGCTACAAAAGTTCCATTTTCTGACGAACCAACTTAGGTTCTTCTTTCAATACATTCTCCTCTCTTCCTCAGCTAAAGGGAATGATTCCTAAGCACAAGGAAAAATGAAGAAAATTCCTTTCCATAATATATTTTCTGCTTCTGAGTGCAACATCCATGATGACGCAGCCATAAACGATAACTTAGATCTTCGCTAGCTTTCTAGCTATCTTTGGTCTTCAGATCTGACACCATTTTAAGTTTAATGACTATTTTATGGTCCTCTGGATATTCCACTTGTTGTTTGGAATAGTTAAAAAGTAAACAAAGAAAGGGAACCAAAAGCCTTTTAGAATGCATTAGTTGAGTGGTTTCACCTGTTGTGTGTCATGTGACTCTTGACCAGGTGCCCGGCAGCCAGAGCCCCCATCAGTGAGAGTTCTCCAGCCAGCACTGTAGCGCACACAATCCTGGCCAGCTGCCGCGCATTCTCCCCTGGACAGTCCTGACTGGCCCCCTGCACACCCAGCATCTGCGCACGCACGCGCGCGCACGCACACACGCGCACGCGCACACGCACACGCACACGCACACGCACACACACACACACACACACACACACACACACACCTTCAGTGAAATGGAAACTGGAGTTAAACAGCTCAAACAAACACGCGTCTCCTTTAATTTAAGGTGTGCTGCAGTATTTTTCTTAAAAGTCCGATTCCACACGAGCATTAGCATCTCCTAACCCACAGGTCTGTGTCCTAACCACTAAAATCTAGATCTACCACTAAGATGTAGATCTACCACTAAGATGTAGATCTACCACTAAGCTCTAGATCTTACACTGAGATGTAGATCTACCACTAAGATCTAATCTACCAATAAGATGTAGATCTACCACTAAGATCTAGATCTACCAATAAGATGTAGATCTACCACTAATATGTAGATCTACCATTAAGATGTAGATCTACCACTAAGATCTAGATCTACCAATAAGATGTAGATCTACCACTAACATCTAGATCTACCAATAAGATGTAGATCTACCACTAAGATGTAGATCTACCACTAAGATCTAGATCTACCACTAAGATGTAGATCTACCACTAAGATCTAGATCTACCACTAAGATGTAGATCTACCACTAAGATCTAGATCTACCAATAAGATCTAGATCTACCAATAAGATGTAGATCTACCACTAAGATCTAGATCTACCACTAAGACCTAGATCTACCAATAAGATGTAGATATACCACTAAGATCTAGATCTACCACTAAGATCTAGATCTACCAATAAGAGGTATATCTACCAATAAGATGTAGATATACCACTAAGATGTAGATCTACCACTAAGATCTAGCCCAGTCATTTCTGGGACACTGGGGTGTAAAGTGAGCTTGTTTTCGTGTGTGTGTGTGTGTGTGTGTGTGTGTGTGTGTGTACCTGCAGGCAGGCCTGCTGCGGGGGCAGGTTGGTGCCTCCTCCTACAGTGCCCAGTTCTATAGAGGGCATCGTGCAGCTGATGCTCAGGTCCTCCCCTGTTGGTCCTGACCGCTCCATCAGGGTGATGCAGTTGCTGCTGCCCACCGCCTGGGCTGGATCCTGGTGGGGACGAGTCCAGAGGAATATTTATCTATGCCAGAATGCACTCAAATAAAAGGATGAGCCACTTTTCCCGGAGCTCCTATACCTGTCCACAGGCTATGTAGATGGCAGTCACCAAGTTGGCTGCATGAGCATTAAATCCACCAATGCTGCCGGCCATAGCTGAGCCCACTAGGTTTTTATTGATGTTGACTTCAATCAGAGCCTCTGTTGTGGTTTTCAAGACCTAAGATACGAAGAGAGCAGGACAAGGAGAGTAAAGGAGCCTGTCATTGCGTAATGTTACAAGCCAAACTGAACAAGCAAATACATGCAAACACAATCAAAAAGCTTATAAGACATGAAATAGTTTTTTGAGGGAAATTCCCAGCCCTCGTGGGCATGCACATAAATGACAAATGTCAGAGTGAACAAAGCAGTGGACAAAGAACCGGTTCATACGGGCCCTCTCTACCTCTTGGACCACCCTGGCAGGAATGGTGGCTTCACACACAGCAGACCTGCCCCTGCCCTCAATCCAGTTGATGGCGGCTGGTTTCTTGTCCGTGCAGTAGTTCCCGCTCACAGCGATAACCTGCACTTCTGGGAAGTGCTGCTGCAGCGTGCTCAGAGCCTGTTCTGTGCCCTGCAGGCAAAAAAGACGATTCAGAGTTCAACTTTTCTGCACAGACACAGCTACAATGTGCTGGTAAGCAGACTCATTCTTTCATTCAATGACTATGCACATCTTCCTGTGGATAAGCATCACTTGCATCAATTGTCAGTCTTAAAAACTAACCTTACAGGGCCAAATATTAGTATAGTATCATTTTTTGAGAATAAGTTCTGTTACTTTTTAGAATTATGACTTCTTATGACAGCTTAACTATAAGGTTTAGTGTACACATGCACACACACGCTCTCAAACTTACCTTAGAGATCATGTTCATGCCCATGGCGTCTCCAGTCTTGGAATGGAAGCGGATGTATAGATTCCTCCCGGCGAGGCCCACCAGAAGCCTCTGAAGCCGAGCAAACCTGTGGCCAGATGTTTTTCACACAAAAACCGTGATGCCGGGTTCTTCCGCCCTCAGCTAATTCTGTCAACAGCGGGTGAATCGTACCTGCTGGTGTTGTCAAAACTCTCTTTGACTGCCTGAAAACCGTCAGGACTCTCGAGCCAGGCCTTGACCTCCGCGGCTTTGCAAGCAGAAGGTAACCTCACTACAGGTCCACGGGTCATGCTGTCGGCCAGGATGCGACTGTGGACGCCACCACCCAACTGCAGCAACACAAACACAAATTACTGTTTCCCTGAGCAACATCACTGGAGCAGGTCTCTCTTTTCAACAGGATTTATGTATATATCGATATACGTATACTCACTGCGATTGCTCGACATCCACGGTTAGTGCTTGCAACCAAGCAGCCCTCTGTGGTTGCCATGGGAACTTGGAACTGTTTCCCATCCAGGTGTAGTGGTCCAGCAACTCCCACTGGTACAGGTATGTAACCGATCACATTTTCACAGCAGGTACCTACGACCTGTAGAACAGAGCTCTGTAAGGGAGGAAGTTCAAAGCCGTAGGAAGGTTTTCAATTAGTCCCGTTCTTGTGTTCACCTTGGAATAGTCATAGTTGGTGAACGGCAGAGAGGACAGCACGGAGGGGCCGGGCAGTTTGGGAGATATCAACTGCCTTCGTATGGCCACTCCTCTCTCTGGCCTCTCCATCATAGTTTCCAGTTTGTATGCGGGGATGTGTTTGGATGTTACCAGCAGTATCACCTCAGCATCACTCAGAAAGCAGGGCCCCAGCTGTGGGAGACACAATCAAAGCCACCATTCAGAGATTATCTAGCCTAGTATGCAGTGGTTCATGCGCCATCGTTTAGACGGAAAAACTTGGCTTGAATGGCACATACAGCATACCAATTATTCATGCCTTGTGGTCTAATAATGTTATTAATATAAACAGGTGTAAAGAGAAAATACATGGTCTGAGCACAGAGCCCTGATGAACTCCCTGACTTACTCAGAAGATTTTCATGAACAAACTGTAATCTGTCAGATAAATATGACTTAAACCAAGCCAATGCAATCCCCTTAGTCCGATTAACGTTTGCATATCTTTGAGTCAAAGCTGTAAAAGAACATAGATTTACTATAAAAGCCAAACTTATGAAGAAACTCAGCCCCCTGTCCTGGATGAGGCAACAGATGAGCATGGGCCAGGTCTACAGTACACCAGTTCATCTACTTTCCTCTGGTCCTGTATTGCCAAATTATTCCTGGGCATACAGTCCCCCTAGCTGACATCGGCTTAGCCTTTTTTTTACAGAGCTTAGGGCTCCACAGATGAAGAGGGCTCAGAGGGTCGAGAAGCATCAGATGATATCACCATTCAGCTGTTCCAGGGGACAGTCTGTGTTTTACACTTTAGGGATTTGTAACATTGTACCTCAGGGTTGTTGAGGATGGCCACGCAGTCATCCAGGTCTCTGGGGCCCTGGGGGGGACTAAGCTGAGCCGTTTGAGACTCGGACTCTTCTTCTTCTTCTCCAATGGTGAAGCAGCTCCTTTGCTGACAATCAGTGCTGGTGGTGGTTACTGGCCGGATGACTTCATCTACGACAACAACAATGACAAAAAAACGTTACTTTCAGAGAACTTTTGAACAAAGAAAAGACATACAGATAGGCTGTTAATAAGACGATACCAAAGTATCAGAGGAAAACAATTAGAGCTGGATACCATAGCATCACCACTGAGAACACACACCTCTCTCTTCCTTGTGGGCTTCCTCGTGTGCGGCAGTGAGGGCTAAGGATGCGGGAGCAGCCAGCTCCTTCACGCAGCACCTCTCCTTGTCCACAGATGGAGTGGGAGTGGACATAGTGATGGGGTTCCTTAGGGACAGCGTAGACTCCATTTCCACTTGCTCAAAGAAGATGTACTTAATGGCGAGCAGTAGGGCCAAGGTCAGGCAGATCACCTGCTCTATGTCCATGGTAATCATCCTGCAGGGGACGAGAAAACGGGATTATGGAATCACCTAACTAACCATAACATCCAGGTGGAGACACACACACCTCTCAGCACCAAACTCTAACGTTAACAAGCACCACAATCCCTGCTTAAATGTTAGAATTTCCCTTTGGGCTACTAAAACCATGCTTTTTGTTTCTTTTTAATTCATAACACCGTCACTGAGCACAGTGAATGGTGTCGTCCGTCCTACCTGGACAGATAGAAGTGCCAGAGGGATTTCTCTGGCTCGATCCTTCTGGCTGACAGGTGCTCCACCTCCATGCCCACCTGTGGGATGTTTGCTGTGCTGTTGGAGAAGGGCTTGGATATCCAGCGGCTGTGGGCATGAACCATCACCAGGCCCAGAGACTGCACGCACAGCAAAGTCTCACTATCATGTTCACATAAAGGCGAACAAGCGCACAACGTTAGATGCTTTACCATGATTATTTTGACCCTCTGCGTAACAGGGTTGGGCTTTTTGTCCTCCTCTTCCATCACTCTGGAGAAATGACCCAGCTGCCAGATAGGATGGCCCTCCTGACTCTCTCGTGACAGCTGCAGGACCACACCCACAACGTCAGTCCAGAAAGCGACACCGCACCCCCCTCAGGTGCCCGAGCACTGCTCTTACCTCCAGAACCAGTGAGACACACGCAGGGAAGAACGTCATGAACACAAAGTAGTTGGCCAGGATGGACATGCACCCAAAGCAGCACATGATCTCCAGCTGCCGCACACCTGAAAGGTAGGGGAGGCGGAGTCAGAGGGACAGCTCACACAGCACGCTCAGGAGTAGACTAGGGATGTCCCGATCCAGCTTTTTTCACTTCCGATACCGATCCCGGCCTATCAGAGCATGCACTAAAGTTAGAAGTTATTTAGCCTCCTCCATAGCTGTCAGACTCATGTTGTACAGGGATTTACTCTGATAACAACTTAATGGTGAGGACACAGACCTATTGGTTAGGAGATGCTAATGCTAATGCTCGTGTCGGATCGGACTTTAAAAAAAAAACTGGATCTGGAGTTTGCATTGGCATTTTCTCATGCCGGCCGATACGCAGTTTTTTGCAAATATCGGCGGCCGATCTGATCCAGATATCGAATAGGGACCAGCCTACAGTACATATCAGTGGAGACGCAGATAGATAGATAGCTGAACCATGAAAGCTAAATGATCTTATGGAGGAAAAGTGAAAAAGTCCAACTTTCTGTCCCTGAAAGACTGCAATTCCACTACAGGCACAAGTACCAAAACTAAAAATTGCTGCTCACTAATGAGCCTTAAGGAAATCACTTCAAAGAATCACGATCCGGAACACAAAAACCTCACAATGGGAAATTTTGGTCAGATTGAAATGGCAGCTTGCACCTGACATGGTTCCGACTCCGATCACTAAGCACTCCACCAGCGCATCCAGAGTAAAGGTAGGTCCCAGAACCGCCATGCCAGAGGCGATGTTGTCTCTCACCTCGTCCTGAAAAGAGCCGGACCTGTTAGCACATGCAGGAAGGAGCCATTTTCTGCAGAGCGTGAGAGGTTTGGTTCTCACCTGAGAACTGGAGCTGAGGGCAAACTTTGCGAGAGCACAGGCTTTGGAGAGGTCGATGAGAAGCAGGAAAAAGGGCAACGCCTCACTGGAAGACAGGAAGAGCTGGTTGGAGCTTTTGGAACAGATACTGACGCAAATTGCGGCGTGACGAACGTGTCTTACTTGAGGCCCGTGAGCTCCTTATCGAAGAAATGAATGACCACAGTGCTGAACACAAAACTGGAGAATATTGTGAAAAGACCGGCAATGCCTGGAAAAAACACAGATGAGCTTCAGTCATTGATAAGGCAGCAGCCCTCAGTTATCTCCACCAGAGCGACAGCATTTAGCCAGCTCTGTGAGAGCTACACCACATACCTAAAATGTACTTGGATCCCAGTTGTCTGAGGCTCCGGAACTGGAAGTAAATGTAGACGATGGCGATGCAGCGTGTGATGGTCAGGATGATGATGTCGCTGCTCAGGAGTTCCTGTGAGAAGGAGCAGGTGGTCAGACCACCGGGAGGGCGAAGGAAAGGGTCAGTCTCTGTGGCTATCAACTACCCCAAGGCACACAAAGCCCAAGATTTCACGCCATTATTGAAACTTTATCTCACTCATTTCCACGCCCATGAGCCAAGTGGAGCTACCTGTTCTTTGTTCTGCTGCAGATAAATAAATAACAGCACTTGCACCTTTATAGTTCCACCAAAGCTAGAATTTTTTTTTTTTTTATCGCTTATATGAATACTTTTGTGCAGGTTTTAAAGATTGTACTTTTTAGTTTTATATTTTCTCTTCTATATTTTTATTTCTACATTGTATTTCCTTACTTCTCATAGAAGTGTTGTGCACCAAACACCAAGGCAAATTCCTTGTAAGTCAAAAAAACCTACTTGGCAATAAACCCTATTCTATTCTAGTCTATTCTATTCTCTCTCATTCTATCAGTCTACATTCCTCATCTTTCTCACTATTTGTATTCTAAAGTCATGCAAGAGGCCGACTGGCTCATCAACAGGACAACAGTCCCAAACACAGGAGCAGATCTACAGCAGAATTTCTGAAGGAGAAATTAAAGCTCAGCCTAATTCAAACCCATCCATCCAACCTGGAAGATGAATGGATGGATGGACAAACAGACAGACAGTGATTCACCTCCTCTGTTTTGGGACAGTCCAGGTTCCAGCCACAGATCTGGTCGTTGCCGGTGAACATGTTCATGGACATCATGCAGATGGTGAGGGTGACCGTCCCCACGATCACCTCCCACGGGTGAGAGGCCACCAGCAGGCCGTGGGCACGGAAGGCAGGGCTCAGCATGGTGTCACACAGCTGGGAAACACGCAGAGAGCACGTTAACTGACAGTACAGGGAGGAGCCCAGGACTCATGAACAACTGCAATACAAGGAAGAAAAGATTCACAACGACTTCATCCTTTATAATTAATTATTATTCACTAATTCCCTAATGGAGTCCGTGGGGACTGGAGCCTATCCCAGTTGCCAATGGGCGAGAGGCGGGGGTCACCCAGTCCATCACAGGGTGACACAGAGACACACAACCACACAAATGCACACTAAGTGCAGTTTGGAGTGTCCAATCAACCTAACATACAGGTTTTTGGAGGGTGGGAGGAAGCCGGAGAACCCGGAGAGAACCCACAGACACAGGAGAACATGCACTCTCCACCCAGAAAGGTCCTGGTTCCCCCGGGACTCCAACCCAGAACCCTCTGGTCCTGGTTCCCCCGGGACTCCAACCCAGAACCCTCTGGTCCTGGTTCCCCCGGGAACTCAAGCCCAGAACCCTCTGGTCCTGGTTCCCCCGGGACTCCAACCCAAAACCCTCCACACATAAAGGTCCTGGTTCCCCCCTGGGACTCGAACCCAGAACCGACTGGGATTCCATTAGAGCAAAAGTAGAGCCACGGAAATGAGAAAAACTCCCTCTAATTATCCCTGACAGCAAAACCCCTGTTTCAGCCTTTAAACACCCCCTTCCTGTGACTCTCTCCTCCACCACTAATGACTTAGTACATTATCTACCGTTACAATGTGTCGTTTAAGAGGCTTAACAGATTACCGCTGCTCGTTAAAAATAGCCTGTTTGACTATGAAGCTAAACGAGCCCGGGCCGGCCCCCGGGTGTCCTCCCCGGAGGTCCGGGCTCGGAGCCCCCCCCTCAGAGTAACTCACCTCCGGGCAGAGAGGAGGGAGAGAAGCCGCCGTCCGGGTGCTGCTGCCGCTGAGTCCGCAGGCTGGGGGAGTCTGGCCGGCCTTCCCGGGCAGCGTCAGCCGCTGACTCGGAGCCCCGCGAATGGAGCCATGGCGCGCCGGTACATCGTCCGACCCCGCAGCCAATCACGTCGATCACCTGTTCCGCGGGCGGCTTGGCCACGCCCCGTTGCCTGGGCGACAAGGGGCAGCCTGCTCCGCGTAGCGCGTGGCGGCGGATCGCGCCACTCCAGACACAAATAGACCGGGGTCCTGCACGTGCCGCGCGCCTACCCGGACACCGCTCGTGTGGATTATTTAGTGCTCTGCCTCCTACTTCCTGTTTAGCCGGTAAACACGGTAGAATTTACCGTCTGTAGCTGTACTTAGGCAGGAGACCGGTCTCTAAAGTGGCTAAACGGAGCCGGTGGGGTGTCAGAGGACCTGCGTGACCGTGGCCCGCGCCCCCGCACGCGTCCAATGCGTCCCCATCCGGGTCACTCCTGCTGAGACAGCAGGTCTTCCTTAATAACAGCTTTCTTTTTGCCTATACTGTGGTCCAGTCCACCCTGTTACACACACTGATCCCCATATTCCAGAATCATCTCAGGTTCAACAAATTTGCTGAAAGTTGCTGAAACATGCAGGGGTCTAATAAAATTCAAAGTGAGACAGTGCATCTATTTTTTTCATTTCTCTGGCTCACTCCTGCTCCGTTCTTGTGACAGTAATGGTGTTAGAATTGGGCTATAATTAGTCACTTTAGCACAATATGTTATAACTTAATCCATGTAAATAACTGATTGTCCTATTCCATTTTAGATTTATAGTATTCCCTTTTTAATCTTACTTTTGGGTTAAACTCTTTGGCTGTGCCTCCTCCTCCTCCTCTCTCTGTTACAGTAGATACTCGTCTTTAAGGTCAACATCCACACTTTCTTATCACATTCCACCTAAACCTGCATGAATTAGGACCTGGCCTGTTCCTGTCAGAGCTAACTGGCCAGTATTTGTACTCTTGGTCTGCTCTGGTTTATCAGGCTTCCAACTAAAGAATCGGTCTAACAATGAATGAAAACAGGGGAGTTTTTGTGCTGTTAAATTTACGAAATTGACCGCTATTATTGATCCACCAACTTGAATAAAACCAGGAATAAGCCAGCAGAGCCTCAGGAGGCTCGGGAAGCTTCCAGAGCTGGTGGCAGCCTCTATGCACCTCCACTGGATTGATCCAGTTCAAAGTTTGACTGGAGTTTATGGAATTCTTGACCCCCCACTGGTATAAACTGGTCTGGAACTGGATAATAGGACAGGTGACAGTCAGGGGAATGACGAGATCCTGGAATGATTGTCAAATCCAGGCAGGAGGACTGTGGGTTTGTAATTGTGCTTTCTATAGAATTGAAAAAGGAACCGGGAGAAAGTTATACATAGATATTTGTAGTGTAGAAAAAATCTAACTCTTTGGATATTTTCTCTCCACGTCAGCAGTGAGTGTAAATATTAAGAGAATATGTAAGAAAGATATTCTCTCATGGTTCGAAATATTAAAATGGGCTGGTATTTTCCATTGTCTTCTTGGATATTAAAAAATAGCAGCTAATGGGATGCAAAATAGTCCTGAGGGGACATTTTTGATTGAGCAGGATGCAGAAGATGACTGAAGCTACAAGTGTGACAGAGTAGGAAAAAGCTAGAATGACTTTAAGATATGTGTGTAGAGGGTCAAAGAAAAAAACGGGCCACAATATATGAAAACAAAGATCTTTTACTTCTTATAAAGGATAAAAAAAAACACAGCCGTGCAATAAGGTGATTCAAGAAAGAATAACCAGGAAATAACCAGTGTCTTACATTAGGATAAATCCCCTTTAAGTCCCAGAGCATTTTATTTGACTTCCACCACAAAGTCTGGGGAAAGGGAAAGTTACCACTGTGGTAAAGAAGCCATTTTAAATCCCTATGAGCAAACGAAAGGAGAACACTAACCCAGGGAGCTGCTGACCTCAGAGTCAGAAAATAAAAAAATACCTTGGAGCCTGTTTCATTTGAGAAGATTACAATCAACTTTACTGTCCTTTGAGATTGCATCAACCCAGAAAAGCATAAGCAGCAACTGTAGGATAATTAGCTATTTATGCATGTTCATGCACAGAAATGTGTGTGTGCATAAACAGGTATGGACATTGGACTATATGTATACAGTGAGTTTAACACAGTATGTACAGTGGGCCATGTTTACAGAGGAAGCATAAACAGGGTCAGCTATAGTTATACAGAGAGTTTATCACAGCATGGAAAGTGGGCGATATAGTAATAATAATATAGCATCATCGCACAACAATAGTAAAGCATACAGTGAACCATTCCTACAGTATACAGAGTGTACAATGGGCTATATTTCTGTTATTTACAATGTGAAGGGGCTGTCTTATTTTTTATTTTTGCTGGTGATGTTGCAATATGTTAACTGGGCAGGACTTTGACACTTTGAGTTTAAAACTACTCGGTGTTGTTGTTGTTGGAAAATACCTCAAATCTGTCACACTAAGTCTTTAGCTTTCCGCTATTTGGTGAAAGCTACATCCGAAGCAAAGTTGGACCCCCAAAGCCATCAGAACTGTAAACACGTCAAACAAGAGAACATACACACACACACACACACACACACACTCTGAGGAATGTAGGAATCCTGTGATTGTACTGATTGCCTCAAAGATCCTGCAATAAATAGTGAAAAGTCATGATAAGTTATTTTTGTCCAAGCCTGTTTTATGAGTTTATTGTTTAAAATAATCCTGTTGAAGCTTGGTCAAAAAGTAAAAAGCACTTTCATTTGTTCATTTTCATACATTTTTATCTGTTATAAGAAGTCATCTCTGTGACCAATTGTGAAGTGGTCCCAGAAATTATTTCAGTCTGCTTTTTCATTTTTTTGTTTTGTTTTACTATATTCTGCGTATATAGAGGACATTCCTTAGGCGTTGCGTCCATTATGGTCATCTAACTCCATCTAACATGCTTCACTCCAGACTTTTAACATCACACAAACATTTATCTTTTCAACATGTACAGGATGCTCCTAATATCCTGCTGACTGAGTGGTTTTATATTGAGACACAGCATTTCCCTTATTATGCACGCAATTCTTAAAATGAGTGTGTTTGTTTACGTTTTTTTTAGATTATTCCTGAACACAAAGTGAGATCAGCTCTCTGTGTTTAACTGTGTGAAGAGCGTTCTGGTTTGCCGGCCTGAGCCTGTTTCATCATAAGAAATCCTCTTCATCATTCTTCTTCATCCTTTCTTTTCTATCTTTGTCGTTATCGGGAGTTGCTCCCTCCAAAGGCACTCCATGCTGGAACCCAGTTCTTTTGCTCTGTTTGAAGGCCCGAGCTCAAAGGTGTTTCCAGACCGGTTCAAATGAAAAGCTTTTACCATTCTCCCTCTCATCGTTTGCAAAATGCGCTTTTAAACCACAAGGTGGTGCTGCTCTAAAAGCCACAATCACGTTTTCACCTGTCCTCTAAACCCCACGCTGATAAAACCGATATCCCCACATTACTTGGATGGTACCCATCCCTTCAATGGAAATGGTCTATTTGAAAAGTTTCAGTCAGGATTCAGAGCAAAGAAACAGCACAGGTGAAAGTTTCCAGCCACTTCCTCTCAGCTCCTGATAGGACCTGAGTCTGTGTTTTCAGAAATTCTTGAATAATCCCAGAGGGAAATTATTTTTGTTCCTAGCTCCATAAATAAAACAACAGCATATACACACACACACACATATATATATATATACACACACAAAATTCCGCACAGAATATAGATAAATATATACATAAGTAACTATATGTATATATATAGGTCTAGAACAAGTAATGTCATTGGGTGTGACGATGTCAATTGGCTCTGTATTACCTTTAGAGATGTTGAGTTGAATTCCTTTAAATGATGACTTTGCTACTATAAATTGGACCATAATGGTCTTGGACGGGACTGAACTGAACATAGGTTTGGTTGATTTGGCCCCACATTAACTATGAAATGCGTTTAGACGTGCTGTTCAAAATCACAGCTAAAAACGTTAATTGACAAGACATTGGCAAATGTAAACCTTTATGTTTGCTGGGTGGTACAGGATGAAACCCATAGTGGGCCAGCAAAGAAAAACGGAAACCGAGGAACCCACGGAAATGACGGTTTGTTATGAGGAAATAACAAAAATTTTGGCAGAGCTGGACACACAAACTGCAACTTTATGGAAACCAAAACCAAGAAACTGACCTGAGAGGTAGAGCTGAAGACAACGGTAGGGTGAAAGGGGAGCCAGATCAGAGGCCGGAACATTTTGTAGGCATCTGAAAAGAATGAAGCATGAAAAGAATATGTAAATTTATAGAGGGGGGAGTGATAACGGAAGGAAGAGCAGGTGAAACGGGCCCCAACCAGATGATGTCACTAAGGCTTCCAGCTTCCTGACACGGAAACAAAGACAGCAAAAAAGGGGTCATAGTTACTGTAAATTTCTAGATAAAACTGTTCTGGGGACATAACAAAGAAGCAAATTCATCAAGAAATAAAATAAAGTCAAATTGATTAAAATATATAGTTATAGTAGCATTTATTTATATATTTAGCATGTATTTGGACCATCCTAGGAATAAGCGGTACAGCACGTGGACAGATAGCGGATGGATTTCAGATTATGATAATTTGAGGTTTTCAATTTACAAAAACATAGTAAGTAAACAGAAGAAGGTCAAACGAAATCTAGGCTTGGAAACGTAAATTTACAGGAAACACACTGTGTGTCATCCTACATTCGTGGATAAGAAGTCATTGGCGTTTACTAATGTCATGTAATGGCGGAATCAATCCAGAGGGGGGCAGCAACTCCATACCAACCAGTCGGGATTTATTTTACCAACGAAGAAGATCGTTAATCGAATTTCCGCTTCCTGTTACAGAGACCGCGCACCTACATCCTCTCGTGTAAGCTTTAACATTGTGAAAATGTGATGTTTTCGTGTGTGCTGGATGTTTTTGGGTTGGGTGGAATAATTAGGACATTGGTGGGGTGTCATGGCTGGTGTGGGTGAGGGTCGTCTTCTGCACGCGCGGCCCGCACGTTAACGGGCTCAGCTAGCGTTAGCCGCGGCGGCTAACCATTCATGTAGTCTGTTCTGAGCGTAAAGTCCGCGGCTGGGTCGGCCCAACAAAAACAGGTTTCCTGAGGGCGTGTGGTGGAACTGGTCCAGATCCAGGGGCTCCAGGAGCCTCTCAAAGGTGTCGGAGAGGGCCGGAACCTGGTAACCATCCATCAGCTTTGACATCTTTAGGAAATGGCCGTGAGCATAGTAGCTGTAATGATGCTATGCTAGGCTATGTCAGTCTTCCTCTGATCATAATGGGAGGTGAAGGTGAATAAAATGAGTAGAAATGACTTCTTGTTGATAGTTTTAGGGCCCACGGTCTGCTTTTCCCACTGGGTTCTCCGGTCAGGAGAATCTGCACACCGTTAAACATTTCTCTCAAATCTGATCAAAGCCTTTAAATCCGTAATATGCATATTCAGAGGGATCCTGACACCCATGTTTGTTCCTGTGCACCCCCCCCCCCATCACCAGTTCTGCAGAGTCTGACATGTATTGTGAAAACCTGCATGGATTGCTTGTATTTCCCTGTTTTCTACCGATGGGGAGTCTGGAAACTGTGAGGGCTCGCTAAGTTAAATCCACCCAGAGCATTATAATAAGCAGGCCCCTGGTTCCGTAGGGGGGGGTCCTTTTTGTGAGCGGGCCCCTGTGCAGGCCTTTCGAACCCGCGTTAAAAGTTGTGCTTTGTTCCCGTTGCAGCACAATGCCAAAATCAAAGGAGGTGCTGTCTTCCACATCTGGAAGCGACTCTGACAGCGAAGTGGAGACCAAGGTTTGTGTTCCGGTGCTCACTTCTGCCTCAGTGTGTCCACACGGGGTTTGTGTTCCAGTGCTCACCTCTGCCTCAGTGTGTCCACGCTGGGTCAGGAGAAACCATCTGGTTTACAGGAGGCCGGCTTTTCCCAGCACAAACTGCTGTCAGGTGGTCGGATGGAGAAATTGCTTCTACCAAAACCTTCTGAAAACTCAAATTTTTTCTCGGTCAGGTTTTCCCCTGGTCTTTGATGGTGCTTTGAGTTGGGCGGCAATGTAAATAATGTGTAATTCCCCTCCGTTATGAAGTTGTGATGATGGGAAAAACCTTTTACAGGCAAAGAGAAAGAAGCAGAGCGCACCGGAGAAGCCGGCCAAAAAGGCCAAGAGTGGGGAGAGCTCAAAGCCGGGGGGCTCCTCAAAGGGCAGCGGTGGCGGCGGCGGCGGGGGGGACGACAACATTTTCCCGGGGAGGTGAACCCGCCCCCTTTGCTTTGTCATTCCCCCCCCCCCCCTCCCCTCCCAGAGCAACACCTGACCCCCGTTTTGCTTCTTTCAGATTGGGAAGATGCGATATGTCAGCGTTAGAGACTTTAAGGGGAAACTCCTGATCGACATCAGGGAGTACTGGATGAACCAAGATGGTGAGATGAAGCCCGGGAAGAAAGGTAATAACCACCCCCCTGTGTGTTAAGACCCAGAGCAGTGCACACAGCACACTGATATCTGGAGATTCACATCAGAAATGCAGTCAAAGTGGCAGCGTGGTGTTTTCCATCCCTTTTGTGAGACGCCTCTTCTTCTCTTGAAGGTATCTCCCTGAACCCCGAACAGTGGAACCAACTAAAAGACCAGATTTCAGAGATTGACGATGCCATTAAGAGAATATAAACATTCCCTCAAATGTAACGTGATGAACTAATTAGACTTGTTTGTGGACTAGTTTTGTATGAAACCTGGGATTGTTTCTTAATGCTCTCGTTTAGTTGGTAGTTTGCACATTCAGCTGTCTGCGTACTTTGGGGTTGTGTGCTAATCTTACTTTTGAGCAGTTTTAGTGATGATGTGGGAGGCTGAGTAGGTGGATGATCACCACTCTGGGTGGGTAGAGTGCTCCAATACAGTGATGTTTTTGTACTGAATAATAAAAACAATGCACTAGCTTAATATTGTTGTTCCATTTTTAAGCTCCTGTTATCATGTAGTAGGTCCCAGGCTTAGTTTCCCCCTCATTCTCAGTCCCTTTCCTCTCAGACATGTCCAGTCTGATGTTGGTGTGTGTAATACGATTTGAAAATAAACACTCTGGTTAAGCTTTTGATATTTTTTGATAGCACCAAAGCTAAGCCTGTTTTGTAATGGTTTCCAAATGCTCTTTTCTACTGTGAATGATCCCACTCTGCCCTCTGCAGAAGCACAGACATCCTCTGGTGACGGGTTGGGAGTTTGTACCTGAAGTGTTCTGGTGGTTGGGGCATGGAATCTCTACCATCATCGGACACCTGGAAAATAAACCGTATTCAAATTGTTTTAACCTCCTAATGTCAGGTCTAAGAAGGGAAGCCTTCTTAAACCCCACAGAGCCAGAATTATATACATGAACATAGAATGGCCCCAGCCGTTTGTCCTCTGTGTCCTCAGGCTTTAAGGGTAGAAAAAGACAGCCCGGGGCTCCTGATTAGATCAGAATTCCCTTGACTAACTTTGGGTTTTTTTGGAGGATCCCTGTTTCTGGACATGCAAACTCCCGAGCCCAGCCAAAGGAAGTCTGTTCTTTTAGTCACCTGAGGGGAGCGGGACACACACCGGAAGCCCTCCAGAGTACAGCAGAGGCCCGGTCAACCCGTCCACCTGGTCCATCCGTCCACCTGGTGGTCCACCTCACACCAGCGCCGGGGGGCAGAGGAGATGGACACGGTTCGGTTCCAGAGAATCTGTGAGGTGAAACGCACCGTTTTGGATGCGGACGGCGTGCAGAGCAGATATTTCTAAGACCTAGTGCACCGTCATACAGTCAAACCCTTTTCTAAAACCCTGCAACATACTGTGTTTGACCTTATAGTCCAAATGTGCAGAAATGATGGCTTACATTTGATTAAAAACGTGTAAATGATGTGTTTATTCTTTTTACATTTTTTTTCCAAAGCCACAAGTAAAGCTAATTTGTTAACCATAGTTTCTTGGCTTTTTGTGCATATATTCAGGCATCTGGAATTTAATATCTGCAGCACGTTCCAAAATATATGGGACGGGGGACAAAAAAAAATAGAACCATTTAATACTATTGGTTTCAATTTCAGCATATTCTCCTTCATCACTTTATCACATTTTCATTAATTTGGCTGTTTGAAGTTTCATTGAGTTTTTCAGAATCAATATTCTAAAAGAATCTTAATCTCAGAATAAACAGCATCTAATTAATTAAACATCATCCTCAGTGAAATATCATAGAATAAGCTCTTATAGAGGGCAGTAAGAATGGGAACATTTATAGACATTTACAACGGGTGTCAGTCAGTTATTTGCCACATAAACAAGTTATTGTAAAGAAAAGTGATTCCCGTAGTTAATTAGAAAATGTAAAAACCTGATTGGTGAAGAACTCGTGCTGCTTATGTAGAATGCATGGAAAGGTTTTGCCAGATCAGACTTAAATTAATCAAGAGTTTATTGTTTATTGTTAAAAAGATCCCTGTTAACTGTCACCAAAAGGGGGACGAGCTCGTATTCCTGGGCTCCACAAGACAAAACAAAAATCCCTTCATTAAACATTGTAGACAATATTATAGATGTAATCAGAGATCTAGAATATCCAGAATATGTTCATTCATTACTTGCAAATTTAAATTCTCAAGTAATAATTAAAAGACACTTTACTATTCAGTTCACGTTAATTCGGTGGGCAACTATTCCAATAACTGATGGAGGATAAGGAACTGTTCTCTTTAAGGCGTTTGATTTTGGACATGGTGACATCATCCGACCACCATTAGCCGACCTGCTCACATAAGAACGAACCCCATCACGTCTGACTATGAGGTTATGGAAGAAAACAGAAAGGAATAGACCGTGTACTTTGAGGACTGAACCGCATTGAGCAGCTTTTTACCGTTTACAAGCCGACGGTTTTCCTCTTTATGACAGCAATCATCAGCATATGAGTCTGTTGTGAGACTGGTATCCACATTTCACCCATCTACTTCCCCATGAACGGTGGGCTAAATATTGTGGAAGTGCTAAACGTGCAAAACAGAAAAACTGAAATGGGGAGGCCCGAAAGAAAAGAAACGGCAAACCAATAAGAGGGAAGGCAATAAATAGCTTCTTCAAGGTGGTCTTAAACTCCAATATCCTGTTTGCGGATCTTGCGATTTTCTCTCCACTCTTCCTCAGACACCTTATAAGGTTGTTCAAAGAGAAGCTGGGGAATGGCATGTGCCGGTTCCCCCTGATGTTGACCCAGCCCACACGCCATGGCGCCCACACCAAAGAGCACTTTTTTCCTCTTATTTTGTCTATTTCAGAAGCAGCATTCGACTCATGGGAATGAGAACAGGTAGCTAATGTTAGCCACCTACCACGGTGGGGTGGGGGCGGTGGGGGGGGACTTCCAGGTCTGTGGGACGGGGCGGCCGTGTGCACACAACTGCTGGCCAGATGCTGTAGCGAGGTTAAACAAACACAGCCTGGGTCTGCCAGAGGACGGCGTTTTTTTTCGGGAACTATCTGCTTTGGTCCCGATAGCCGGTTACGGGCAGACGTCAGACTAGTGAACAAACGGGCTGAACAGAGCGGTAGAACGGAGCAAATCATAAATCACGTTGTGGGAATCTGACACTGGAAGACTTGGGAGCTAACGTTTATGCTCATTGTGCAGTATTTGAAGTATTTTATCAGCTAAAATAATTATCTTCATTTCAAAATGTTCCTCATTTGGTGTAAAATGACCTGTGCAATCATCTGACTTCTCCTCAAAAGGAAGAATTTCCTATCTGTCTATACGTAGGACGGGTAAGTCCACGGAGGTTTCCATGGTGTTCGGCCATTTTGAAAAACTAGAACTATAGAGGGACATAAAGCACTAGTCTGCCCGTCTAGCTAATCCACAACGCGTTTTCCTTCAGAGTCACGTGACTGAAACTTGGCCATCTCGTTGGAGGAGTAATTACATGCTCACACTAATGATTCAATGCAGTTTGGAGTTTCTTTTAAATGACAAAACTCGTTACCCAGAGAAAACTAAATGTGGAAGCCATGTTGTCATTACTTCTTGATACATGACGGCTAGCGTAGTAGCAAAACCCATTTGAAAAAGGAGGCGCTAGAGAGCATGATTTGTTAGAAGCAAAATACAATTTCACCATTAGACTGGGGAATTTTGTGTGCCAGTAAAACAGCTATTTTCATGGATTTCCTTTTTAATATACGGTCTCGATGGCGGACTCCTTACTGAGTCCGTGCTTCCTTCTGTGTTGCCGGGGCAACTCAGGAATGCAGTCAAAACAAGCAGGGCGAGAAGCGGCCTTTCAAATAAGTCAGTCTGCGAGGGCAGGAGAAAAAACCCCGGCCCCGGAAACGGCGCTGGAGGCACAGATCCGTCTCAGGGCTTTATTAAAGAGGCCGTGCGTGCACGGAGATGGGTTCCTCACGTGCACAGAGGGATGTCGGCGGTGGAATGCGCACGCGGCTCTGCCCCGGCTTCAGCCTCCTCTTATCTCAGGCTCCCACTCTCACGTGCGCAGGATGGAGGTTTCACAACTCGCCCAGGAGGGCCCGAACACGTCTCCGTTTACATCCAACCCCGGGTTTATTTACAGGTTTGACATGTTTTCTGAGTGCGCAGTGCTCCAGAAGCCTCTGTTCTAATACCAAAGATAACCGGCGATAAAAAGCTGGCACTTATCAACGCGTTTCACTCGCAGAGCTGCTTCGGTTTAAATGTAAAAATAGTCGGAACCACAACGAGGAGCCGCCACACGGCCGTCATTTAGAAATGCCAGCAGCTGCCCCCACTCCACGGGTTGCCAAGGAAACGCAGTATCACGCTTACTAGCTTAGCCGTATGCCAATGGCTCGTTACTTTGACAACAGGAATGTCAATTAGCTGTGGCTGAAGAGAAAAAGAGATGAGTGACTTGAGGTCGGCCTCCTGGTTTTCTCACAAACGTGTTGGGCCTTATATGAAGGAAGTGGCTATATATCACAGAGCTTCTTATTACCGTGGCTCAGTCCCCCTTTCCACATACATTCCACCACCTATAACGCCAAAACTTGTTGGCCATATTTCTAGTTCATTCTGTGACGCTGAGTCTGCAATCCATTCGCCTAAAAAAAAAAATCTGACTGTAACAGTAGTAAACAGCAGTTAAAGCCCAATAAAGTTCAATCTGCTGGCCGATGGGGGACAGAAGTTCACCGACGGACTAACTCATGATGCCGATAATGATAATAAATGAAGAGGA